AAAAAAAAAAAAAAAAAAAGGGGGGGGAAGAAGATCGTGGAAGAGAATGGAAGGAAGATGACAAGATATGGTGTTTGTCTGATCCTTGAGAGAGGAGAGGTTTCATTACCTGGGGGACTTCAGCAGGGGATGTCTCGACGGCGGTGTGTGTTTTTTTTTTCTTTTTTTTTCCCCTCACTGCTTGTCAGAGTTGTGGCGCTGCTACATACACTTCTGTGTTTTAAGTCACTCTGGGATTTCAGTGGCACCAGCAAAAAGCCAGACAGCCCAGGAATCGGTCGTGACGGATGGCTATGTCTGTCCAAAGGGATAGAGGGGTCACCGGGGTTCACGGCAGTGATGGAGACACTTCCCTGCTCAGCCCCCATGACTCTTTTAATTAACCTCTTTGGGAGGCCCACTATAGGTAATCACCGCCTGGAAAGTCCCGTCATTAGGACTTATCTGACCTCTGTGTGTCCAGTTGTGTGTCCAGCTCCTTTCACTGCCTACTCTACCTCCCATTCAACGCTGTAATGACACTGCCACACTGGGGGGAAGAAGACTACAGCAGCGAGAGTCGAGAGAGCACTTAGAATTGTACGCAGCCCCTTCAGAGTTGTCATTTTTCCGTAACCCCTAGTTCCGGCTTCACACACACCTCACTCACGGCTTTGTTTTCTGCTCTCCATTCATCTCTCTAATTCTCCCCGCAAGAATTATTTCACAGCAAGGCAACTTCACTGATCCCACCAAGAGACGATCACAGTTTAATGGCAAATTAGCCAAGGCCCCACTTGCCAGATTCCTTTGTACCTTTCCTCCTCTCATCTCTCATTTCATCCTCCCTGCTCTTATTGCAGACCTTCTGGCCTCATTATACGCAACCAAACAAGAAGCATAGACAGAAATAAAAATTATCTTATTTTCCATATTAGACTTCTAAGGGACAAACAGGCCTCGGTACTCCTTAGGGGAAGCAAACTCCTCTGAGTGATGCCCCAGAACAAGCAGATCAAACGCCTCTCCTCTAGCTTCTCGGCTTTCTTCCTATCTCTCTATTTTGGTTGCCTTCTTTCATGTTGGGGAACAGTGGCTTAAGTGGCTCTATTGGAGCTCTCTGATGGGCTCTCAAACGAAGTCTTTGTGAGCTTGGGAAATAAATTGGTTTGTTCTGAGGCTGTGACTCCTGTGGCGCCACCTGCTGTTCCATCTCTGATCTCTGCCTTGTCCATTGAAGGGTAAGAGGGAGGGGAGGGGAGGGGGATGCAGGCAAAACAAAGTACACAAAGCTGGCAGGGAAGAGGTCAAGAAAAAAAAAAGAGGAGGGGGGGGGAGGAATGGGATGAGTCATGCAGCTTGCTGTGTTGGAGCATTTACATTTCATTTCAGTAGATGAGAGTTTTATACATGCTAAATGAACACTGTGTATTTTATTTATTCACAATGGAAGGAGGGGGATGAAGAGCAGATAAATGCACGAACCCACAACTCCCCCATGTGGACATCCGGAGCAAAACAGCTCTTAGGAAAAAATGTAAATCTTTGATGAACTCACTTTTCTGTTTTAATGAACTGACTTCTATCAGTAACACCTCATTAAAGCCATAATTACAACTTATGACCAACAAACAAACTGCAAAGTGTCGTGCTGACATCAATTTTTCTTTCGCTAACTGTTTCGTTATATGTGTAGTTTACTTCTGCCAATTGTTCATTTTGATTCCAAATTCCCTGTTTTTTTTTTTCATATCTTTTTTTCATATCCTCATTCACATGCAGCCAAGCAGAGTACTGGGGTTTTTTTTTTTGTCTGTGAGGCTTATCTGGGTCTTTGCTCACTGTGTGTGCTGTGGTGTTTGCATCCACACCCATGTCGCATCTGTGTGTTTGCATATGTCCTTTTGCCCACAATGAGGATCTGCATATCAGAGATCCTGGTTTTAGGCACTAAAACGGGAAAACAAAGCGTGGTTTCCTTCAGCTAAGGATTTTTGCATGAGTTTGTTTCTTTGCTGTTTATCTTGTTACAGAAAAGCCGGCACTTAAAGTGTGAAAATCAATGTAAATGTATTATGGATCATAAGCTGCTTCCCATAGCAGACTGATTGCTGTTTTAATTTTGCAACGAGAGCCCTTTATACTCTGATATCATTTACATAAATTTTGCCTTTGACATTTTAGCAATTGGACACTTATTCAAGGTGCTTAAGGTTTGAAACTCACGAGGACTGAAGAGTTTAGAATATGTCATTTGCTGTAGTGAGGCCTTGTGAAGAGATTGTGTAATGTTTCTTTCCACGTCGATTTAAAAGAAATAAAATAAAATTAAAAGTCTTTTACAAAGCAAGAGCCTGTTATTAACCTTTTAAAACAAACAGGTTAGCTGTTAATATTCCAGGTATATTTATTCAGCAGTGATAGAGGAAGTGCTGATATATTATCTTAACGTTGTGTTTTATTGACCTCGGTTTTGCTTCCTCGTTGTTTGGAGTCTCACAGACCACATTACTGTACAGCATGTGTAACAATATTATTTTACTTGTAAACTCAAATATTTTTCTCTTGAGATAGATTTTTACCTTTTCTGTGACCTGAACAACACGTGTAGAAAAGTACTGTGGCAACCTCCATTTGCACCTGCAGTGAATGTGACAAAATGAAAAAATACCCATGAGGGCATTCCTAAACACCAACAATTAAAAAATAAAAAATAAAAAATAGAATAAAATAAAGTAGGAAGTGATGTGTCACATGGACTCTGATGACAAATATGTTCATCACAGAATCTATCGTACATAATGACAGTACTTATCATTAGGTTTAACTAGCAGACAGCTGTGTTACATACAAATCAGTTGAAAACTGCAAAGTAAAACTCACATTTGGAATTTGGAAGGCATCATGTGGCACGAATACTACAGTCAACACCAAACACACAGCACGAGCCAGTGAAAATCCCCTGTATTTACAGTAACTTTATTTTGCAAATGGGGTCTTTGGAACTGCAAACAGAAGTCACTGTGTTGTTTTTTTGTACAAAACTTCTGAAACACCGAAGCAGAAAGTTGTGTTTATGTGCAATTTTTACATAATTATGGAAAAGCCATAAAGTGTGAGGGAGGTAAATTGATCTTAAGTGTGTTTTTGAGCTGTTAAAGAGATCAGAGGTTCTCCTGAACCCAAATACAGCATTAGAGTGAAATGAAAATAGTATTGCTGCAATATAATAGCACATTTATTTGGGGGCACATTTAGTGTGGTTTCTGAGGAGTTTTTTTTCCAGGAAATTCTGAGAGTCAAACCCTTTATTTTGTGCATTAAAGTGATTTTATTTATTTATATATATGTTTTTTGCAACAATTTGTCAAATATATAATGGAATATACAGTACATGGCTGTAATTGGAGTTTTTTTTATCGTTTTGTGGTTATAAGAGGTCATATTTCATTTTCATATATTTGGGAATAAAAAAAAAAAAATGCAGTGCTGGAGAAAAATGACCCGGTGAGGATTTAGTGGTTTATAGATAAAGGACGGATTATCAGAAAACAGATTAAACATCCGGAGTACTGGATACTCAGTGTCATTGACAATAAACAGGTGCAGTTTTACAGTTGAAACTATGATCGATCATATGGTATTGATGCTCAAAGTTGGTTATCGAGAATATGGGGTAAGGATATTTTTAAATTTTGGTTGTGACTCCTGGAATGGATGCAGTTTCTAACAGAGCTCTACAGTGTCTTGAATCCCTGAAACTGTTACGTTGTTATCACCTGTCCTAAAGTTGTGAGGGCTTGAACATGCTGGAAAAAGCAGTGCAAATTGGAAAGCGTGAAATTTTAACCTGCACCTGTGTACTTCAAGGGCCTGTTATTCAGAAAATATTCATAATATGAAGGCCTGAAGATCATATTTTGCATGGTTTCATTAAACTAAAGTGATTGTACATAAAAATTGTGAAGCTATAAATATACATTATTTTATTATGAAGTTATTGTGTTGTAGCTGAATCTGAGGTGGGAACTTTTTTCAGATTTATTTTACTTTATATGGAATTTATGGGGAAAAAAATAATAATTCAAAAAAAAAAAAAAAAGGAATTAAGCCTCCCAGCACTGTAGTGCAAAACTTATTCGGAAAAATCTTTAACTTATTTAATTGAAAATTAAATTAGCTACATTCCTCCACTGTTCACTGGTCCATATCAGCACAATATAGGGGATTAAATAATAGAAAAATGTGTCATGAAAGGCTAAATGTGATTTTTCTATGAAAAAAAATCTGTTATTCCAGTATTTCCACCAGTGAGGGACACTGTAATAGAACATGTGTGCTGTCATGAAGTCACAGCTTCCTGCTGGCATCACAGCCACACTCCCTTCCTGGTGAAGAAGTCTGTTTATAATGTAAAGACACTAAAGCCGATTATGACTGAGGCCCGGAGGCGGGGCAACTGAGGTAAACCAGCGATTTGATTGGTTGGCGGCGCTGCAGGACGTCTGACGTGACCAATTGAAGGGCGCAGTGATTTGTCACTGTATTTGACCACTCGACCCCTCACCTGTCAGCGGTTTTTGCACTTCTTCTCTAACGGCAGTTAGTTCTCAACGCCTTTCTGTCCCGCTAACGCACCCGTTAGACGGAACTGAAATGTTTCTTTTTAAAATGCCGGAGCACTAAGTTCAGTACAGTCTGTCCCTCGTGTTATCTGCTCCAGCCGGACTCCGGGAATGACATTTGTTGCAGCTAACAGGATGGAGTGGCTGTTCCAGCGCTGCCACAAAGAGGCTGTTTTGAACTCAGTCTTTCGCTCGGTGCTGCTCATGTCATGTTTGGTGAGCTCCTGTCATCATTTCGTGCACTTTTGTAAACATGTTGTAGCTGAAAACTTCGAGAGGAATGTACAACAAGAAGGTCAGGGATGCAGATTTTGCAGCAAATTGTATTTTCTTTGCAAATATTTCTGCAGGATTGTACGTGCCACGCTGGGCTTTGATGCTGGGATGCACACAGAAGTAGGACAGATTATAAATTGGTCACTGCGTCCACAGCCAAGGCCAATACTCATTTATCTGTGACAGGCAGTCGCCAAATAATAAGAGGATAAATACTGAATCCAATCCAATCCAAACATGGCAATCCCTTCAGAGGGCTGCAGATAATTAAATTGAGCTATAACTTCCCTTCATCCAAATATAAAACATTTAACATCCGAATGTTCATGTAATTATACAGGCATCACTGAGGAATGGCACAAACATGCTCTTAAAAAGTCTTTGAGGTGACTGGAGATGTGTCAGCAACTCTAAAGCTCTTGTCCTCTTGCTCCCCACCCGACTCTCTGCAGTTCCTGGTCCTGACCGTGTCCATGTATCCTGTGTTGTGGTCCGTCGGGGTCCAGCTTCATTCAGTCTTCACAGGGAGCTACGTGCCGGGTCACCATTCTGTGCTTCTCATCAACAGCCCCAACGAACAGGCAGCCAAGGACATTGGCAGGTACAGGAGAGGGTGGTCGTTACAGTCAGGTTGCATTTTAAAGTGTTTAAATGTGATAAAACTGGACACGTTTCATTTTAAAATGTAGTTTAAACACCTTCAGAGAGGAATGTATCACTAACGTATCATTAAATGTCATTAGGACCCTCATGTCTGTACACACTGTGCAGGGCCGGTCCCAGGATTTTGGTGGCCCCAAACAAGATTTTGTTTGTGCCTCCAAAACACACACAGAGCTATAAAACTGTAAAATGACTATAAAAGCAATATCAGCGCATAAGATCTATATGGCAGGATGATGTAGAAGCTACAGTGCCTCCAATGCAGCGCTTTGTAGAATGGACTGACTGCACTTCATTGTCGTTTTGCGAAAGGTTGTAGAAAAAAAAGAAGCTCTTGTGTGTTTTTATTTCTTTGAAACCAATCACAGTCATCTTAGGCAGAGCCAAGAACAGCACAAGGCCCCGGTGTTTGCTCAAAGTAGTGACCAGAAATTGTTTTGATGGAATAAACGAGAAAAACTAGCAGGGCTGCTTCAGCTCACGATCCAAACCTTTGGTAAAACTTGTAATTTTAAGCATGCAGGCTGCTGTTCAGAAGTTGCCGCTGTTGGTTCCTATAGTGAAGGAAGTTTCATAAATGCCAGCACATAGGATAGCAAAAAAAAAAGGTGTGTTAAATGCACAGCTGATGGCGAACTTATATCCACAGTCTGCATCTGCTAAGTCAGACTATGTCAGTTATGAATAGTTGCCCTGAAGAGTCTGACAATATTCCTTCAGGAGAAATCATATTAGTTGACAAGGTAAAGGGTCCTGGTGAGCAGAGATGCTCCAAATATTTCAGGAGCACCCCTAAAAAGATCACACATTGATCAAAATACCAGCTACATCCAACTAGCAGACAATCAAAGCTCGCCTTTATAAGTATTTAATGATGCTTCTAATCCTGCTCACGCGATCTAACAAGCAAATGGCAAGAAATCACAGTTGTTCTACTGAAATACATTCCAGCTAAATTTAATAATAGATGCACTGCTTTCCATCCAGCTTTCCAGGTTAACATCATCGTGGCTACGTACAGTTCAATTTATTTAATAACAAAACACTTGTAATGTTGCAAAAATCTATTTACTCAGCATTCAAAAAACAAATGCATACTACTTTAAAATTAAAAAAAAAAAAAAAAAACATTTTAGAATCAGTGCAGGTGAAAGTTTGGAATACTTTCTGGACAGCTTGACAGGTCAAATCTGTGGCTTTGATCAGTCAGTCCGAAAACATGACTTTTTCTTGAAGTTTTTTACTGGAAAGCTGTTTTTTTTTAGTTGTTGTTTTTTTTTAATACATGAGCCACTTGTGCAAAGTCACAAGGTTCATCCAAGTAGGGCACGCATGGAGATTTATTGCCCCACTACACTGGCAAACTCAGCAAATCAAGACGGTGCTGCTACGTGACAACAAAACATCATGTTGAGAAATGAGCAGCACCGAAAGTTGCACTGATGGTGCGGCCCAGTAGTCCTGACCCTCAGCAACTGCACAGAGAGTTAATGTACAGCTACCACTAGCCACTTGGCTGAGCTCAGACACTGTAAGTACCTCTGAAACTGAATAATTAACACGTTATACTGCTTTTTTTTTTTTTTTTTTTCATCTGTGCAACAACAGAAGTCGTGGTTTGATTCGATACGTCTGCCAGTTGCCTAGCAACCTCATGGCAGCAACAAAAGGAAAAGTCTTTGTGCACAGCCAAGAAGTAGTCCAGCACAAAAACATGCACATTTTTATAGTTTTGCATTATACACAGTAAACACACAAGATGATGCATTTAGAAGTGAGTTTTACACATGCTTATAGGTTGAGTTAGTTGTCTTTGGATGCAACCAGGCTAACTGTTTGCCTCCGTCTCCAGACTTTGCACCGCTGGTTTTAAACTAATTCAACAAAAAAAATTTCCCCATGCTGTTGAACTTTACATTTAATCAAGATGTTTATTTCAAGCCTCTGCTTTGTGACTTGTGGTTTGCAAATTAGTCAGAAGCGGTTTAAAAAATTCAAAGTCAGTCCGCCCAACACAAGTTTGACTTTTCTGTCTAGAGACGAGCTACATCATGTCAAACCCACAAGTGGAGGAGAGCGCTGTGTTTGCACTCTCATCTCCTTTGTTGGCATTTTAGCTGCATGCAAATGAGCTCTTTCTATTAAGCAGATGTCAAGAAAGTAGCCACAGTGCGATTTCCAAGTATGTAAATCACTTTCCTCTAGAGCCCCTGGCTTGAGGAAGGGGGCATAGCAGAGGTGGTAGTAAAATATTATATTAGCTGAGCTGTAACAGAAAACAAAAATTGGCCGTCTCTTTCTGAATTTACGTCATTAAAGTCCTGTCCTTCAGCCTGCCTGATGAGCGCCATAATGAAGGGCTCAGTTGCACGATGTAACAGATAAACAGCTGGTGGTTTGTGTTTAATTTCTATTACCTCTTTCCATGTTTCATTTCTATTTCGGTTCCAACTCTTCTGTTTTTTTTTGTTTTGTTTTTTTTCAGAGCAATCATGGACAGACGGCTGGCAGCCAGTATTAACATTCTCTCCAGGACCTCCACAATGTAAATCACACTTGACCCCTACCATGAAGCACATTTTCTATCGAGCTGTTATGTCCCTCACATGTACAGACACAGAAATACAATGAACACGTGCTCTTTTTGTCCTCTCTGATGCATTGCTGATTTCCTAGGAAACCGCAAGGTGAACGGGCTTACATCTGAATGCTTTTATCAGTTTCCTTATCACTCGAAACTTGAGTGGCAGTTGGCCTTCGAAGCAGTCGTGTTTTTGTATGCATGGATTAGCTTTCCTGTTAATGCATAACCCCGAAAGGAACAAGGAAGGAAAAGCTCAGACTTTTGAAGAAGGAGGATAATATTTGGCCTAAAAATAGAGGATGTGGTTGGATTAAGGGTGAGAACAGTGATGGAGGCGGTCAGGGTGTGTGAGCGCAGGTAATGTGTGACCTTCAGTTAGATCCAGGCTTATTTAGTTTTAAATGTCAACTTAGATTTTGGCATTTGTCATGAAATATGCTTAAAGCCAGAAGCATTTTTTGGTTATATTTGCTTAGTCTGACTCATTGCATGTACGTTGCAGGTAGAAGCCTGACACTGGTCGCACATTTCACGGCTTTCCTCCTACCCTCACGCTATCCATCCATTTTCAGAATCCACTTCACTACAGTAAACAGCAACGACTTCTGAGCAGCAACCGACCACAGTGAAGGTTTAAAACTTTGCGAAAGATTTGCAAAAATTCACCCCTGCTCGTTGTTTTTTTTTTTAGTGAATTATCCATATCCACAGTGCCCACCTTGTAAGACAATGTTGCATGAAAGCAATTCCACCTGTCTTTTTGCAAGGACACCATTGCATTATAGCTCCACACAATAATGTTGTGATCGGTTTAAAGAAATATAAACAAGGCAGAACTTTTCCCCTCTAGCAGAATGATCCTGAGGTGCAGACAGACCATTCTGATCATAGATATGTATAATAAAGGCTAGATGTCTCGTCCACACTGCCGGCCAATGGAATCGCACGGCCACACTGACGGCCATCTTGGTACGGTCCGCTCGCTCATCCATAACATTGTGTTGTAGTGTTGCATGTACTTTTTAAATAACCATAACTTGCTCAATTTTCTACCAATTTTCAAACAGTTTGGTTTGTTATAAACGTCAGAGGTGTAGCTATAACACTGCACTTGTGGATAATTATGTTACACTCTCACAGCCAGCAACAATTTGTATTTTAATTATTTTGTATTTTATTTGTAATTTTGTAATTTAAATTGTAGCCACGTTAATAACGTTTGTAAGAAACCAAACCGTAAATCCATCAAGATTTCAGCGAGATAACAGTATCTACGTTTCTGCAGATCACTCACCTTCCTTCACGTACCACAGGTTCCACCAGAGAGCTTCCCCATGTCAAGATGGCCGACGGGTGATCCTGTTCGAAAGGCCGCCTTGAGACATCTAGCCTTTATTATACATATCTATGAATATAAGACTCTGAGTTTCTAGATTCTGTTCTGCTGAATGGTCTGGCTATGCAAGTCAAATGAGTCTTCCACTATGCTCGGCGGCTGCATTGCTAGTAAGCGGATAGTACAAGAATGGCAGGCAGAGTTGTAGCCACATCTTACATTACACCACCTAAACCTACAACATCTCACATTTCTGCACATGCCAGATGAATGCATCCATTCGAATGTATGCGTCTTTCTGTAGTCATGGTGGTCTCTGTCCTACGGTGGCCGACGGGGGCGAATGACGTACATATACACAAACGAGCAGCATGTACATGAATGCGTTGCATAAACAGAAACGCGCTGCAAATACAGACGCGCCTCATAAATGAAAACAAATGCAAAAAGAAAACGCTGCATATCCAGTCACACAACGGCAGTGCCACAGGCCTCTAGGGGCAGTAGTGAGCTTTTCACCTGAGAGGCAGACAACGGTGAGCGAGACAAGTAACGTTAGTTGAGGGAAAAGCTGTATGAAAAGGTTTGTATTCTCTCGTCTCTATGGATAAACATAAATAACAGAGAGAACACAGGGAGACGATAGTAAAACACCACTTCAGCACCCATAGAAGCACAGTGACTGAAAAGCTACAGACTTAAAAACTGCCCCTAGAGGCCTGTGGCACTTCCATTGTGTGATTGGATATGCAGCATTTTCCTTTTGCAGCGTGTTTCTGTTTATGCAATGCATTCATGTACATGCAGCTTATTTATGTATATGCACGGTGTTTGCCCTGTCGGCCACCGTACTATCCTGCTCCAGTTTCATTAGGGTATTTTTACAGGTTTGCATTGTCTGCATAGTAGCCTAGTTGTGAGAAAGTGTCCTGTGGTTAGTTTATACTGGCTTTGAACGGTAGGTTTTGCAAATGTGGTTAAGTAGCACATTTGTTTGTTTTGCTGAGAGGAAGTAGTTTCAGTTAGTTCTCTCCCTACTATCCCTACTGGCTTTTCTTTTTTTCAGTTATATGCTTTCAAAATCCAGTTTACTCTTGCTGTTTCGACGATCCCACATACTGTAGCTTTAAATATTGATTTTTATTTGATGTGCTGTATTTCACAATCCACAAAAAAACACCATGTTCAAAGCACAGAGGCACTTTTGCTCTTGACACCGTAAAAGCCTGTCAGGAACAGTTTGACAGTATCACTGTAAATCACTGTGGCTATAATAAGTGGTTGGGCAAGGTTTAGATTGCTATGTTCTTTTGGAAAATATAGGTTTTCATGAAAGCTTTTATTTTATGGAATTTAAAGGCTCTGCACTGTGTACTGGTATTTTTCAGTCCCCAGTCACCTGCAGTTCCTCATGCACACGTGTAGTAAGTGGTACAGTGCAGTTCAGATGTCTTATGTCATCTGATTTTTTGTTGTTGTTTTTTTTAGGTACTATTGGAAAGGTGAAATCCAGGATGCAAGTGAAATCCTCATGGTAAGCTCACTGAGAAGTTCCTTTTTTGATCAACATCTAGTCAGGCATGTTGAAATAGAGCATCTGTAAGATGAGATGTCACTGTTGTTGCAGCTGGTGAAAACAAAGACCTCCAGGATCCAGCAAGTCATAGATTATGTGAGGTAAGAGGTCGCTCAATGCGTTTTGGGTCACGCATTTTTACATCATTGCAAACTGTATATGAAGTTGTAACGTTTTCATACTTAATGCTTCCGCTGCGCATCCTACTGTAGATATGAAGTTTAATTCTGGTTATTTTCATCTCAAGCCTTATTGTTTGCTTAACATTTCATTACTTTACACTAGAGTTTGTCCAGAAGCACTGTCAAAGAATTACAATCCCTGAAACATATAGCAGATTTCATAATGAGGTGGTGTTGCTCACACATTTTCTGTTTTTGTGTGTAAGAATGATTGCATTTGATAGTAAAAAAAAAGGCCTCAGTTGCTCCATTTTTAAAGTTATTTTTAGTTTACACCAGAACCTGACCAATACTGGATTTTTGGAGGCGATGACAATACAGATTCTTTGAGAGTAAAAACATCAGATTCTAATATATCAGACAATATTATGAGCAGCTTATCATAAAGACACAACTTGACTCGTCTGCTCATCTGTGATATGCGCTCTGCTACATGTGCTGCATACAGTGCTGAGAGTGCTGCTAAGAAAGTCAGAGCGCACTTTGCTAGACAAACTGCATGATGATGCAATTTTAAAAAAACGAACTGAACATTACAAACATGTTCATAATATCAAGAAAAAAAAGAAATATGCCATATCAGTATATCTCTGACACAGCAATATAGGACAATAATATCTGCCAACCGTTATATCAATCAGGCTCTACATTAAACATCCACATTTTATAGCGAATATTTGTCATTTTTTTCCTCTTATAAGTGACAGATGATTTTTTTTTTTTTTTTTTTTTTAATTCCAATACTTGGTGGATGTACTTCTATGTCAGTCTTTTCACACGTACAGTTTGCAGTGTCAGGTGAGACATCTTACACATTCCACGTGAAAAGCCTCTTTAATCAGTAATATTCCTTCTATTTCTGCCACATATGAACACAGCATTAGCGCCTTAAACTGACTGATCTGCTTACTAGTTACACAGCATATCTTTGGGTCTTTTCAAGGTCTGTGCATCCCTATGCAAACCCAGAAGTCCTCAGTTTCCCAGTGGAGGACGGCAGTCTGGCCTACATGAAGTGGATGGATGAAGCCATTCCAGATGACTGAGATGTCATTAAAATCAAAGCCAATCTCAGCATGGACTTCAGCCAAACAAGGAAACGGAGCCATGTGTGCAGGCTGTTGATTGAACCTTTGGATCGAAGGGTTCAGAAAGCACTCTGTTCAATTAATGTTGTTACATGACATTCACACTCTTTTCCACTCTGGTATTTTCACCAGAGCTTCTATGTGCTGCAGAGATTTGATTTTAAGAATATACCAATAGCTAAAGAAAACACTGTGAGATAAAAGTCTTAAACTGGAACAGGTGAAAGTTCCAGTGGACCACTAAGTTTAAAATAGAGCTATACAGTGATCAGCTACAACATTAAAACCACCTGCCTGGTATTGTGTAATATTGTGCTGCGGGACCTCTGGTGGTGCGCTGTGGTGTCTGACACTGTGATGTTGGCGGCAGATCCTTTGGGATACTGAGGTTTGTAGGGTGAGGGCCTCTGTGAATTGTGCTTACTCTGGTGCATTCCGCAGATGCTCAATCAGACTGGGATCTGGGGAGTCTGGAGGACAGATCGATGCCTTAGGCTCTTAGTTGTGGTCCTCGAACTGTTCCTAAGCAGGTTTGAGAAACTGCAGCCATCTGAGAGTGTCGTTGCCATGAAGGCAGTGTGCTTGGTCTGCGGTAATGTTTATGCTGGTGCTACATGTCAAAATGACATCCACATGAATGCCAGGATCCAAGGACTTCCAGAAGGATATTGCACTCATCAGCGTGATCAGTGTTAGACTTTCCGCCTGTTGGTGGTTTTAATATTGTGGCTGACCAGTGTATACTATGCTGCTGGTAAACATGATGCTTCTGCTTGCTGTTGTGTTACCGATTAGTTCCCAGTTGTAAAACAGATCAGAAGAGAAAAACTGCCCATTTAATCAAAGGTCACTTTTAATGCACTACCTGTGCTACATGGTATGAGCGAGAAAATGAAGATGCCTTGGAATATATTCAGAAAGTAACAGACTCAGTAGAAACATCTTGTCATTTTGCCTCATGCATTGTCAGAACTCTTCATTATACATTATTGCTTACGCTTTGCTGCTATTATAGGCTAAGAAGTGCAAACAACAAACTGAGTTTGTGTAGTTTATGAAGCCCATTCTGGCAACACTTAACTTTATGTCAGCCACTTTTGGAAGAAATAAAAATTTATAACATTGCTCATAATGCACTACAATTTAGCTGCAAGCAAACATAAGTGTGTATTAATTTGTCTGCAACTCTGCTGCTTTCCTGTGGCCCATAAGTTGATGTATAAATAGATGAAGAATGATAACATAGTGAAGTGCAGTTGTAATAATATAAAATACATGTTCATAGGAGAAGCAACAGTCATTATGCAAATACAAATAATGCACATGAAGAATCACTTAAATATATCTGCTTATAACTACATCACACATGCTAGGTAGGGATCAACACAAAGTAAAGTGTACTCAGACTTGCAGGTTCGGTGTCAATAGTTTGCAGAAGGACATACTGATAGCTACAGCTCTCTATAACATTAGTAGTGCTGCAGGTGGTTGTCATGTACGAGCTGTTATTGAACATAACGTGGCCCATAGCTTGTATTTATTGTTAGGATTTCTTTTAAAGCCATTTTCAAGGTCTAACAAAAGAAGATCAACAACATTCAGAAAGTCAGAGGAATCTATGTGTACCTACAGATCATCTGTCAGGCAGCAGAGGGAAAATACACAAACAAGTGTGTACACATGGTGTTTAATTCTCCTTCACTGGTGTGACACTGCGAGCAGCATGGAGCAGTTTGTGCCTTGTGTGAGTTAAACTAAAAAAAAAAAAAGACAATACTTCTGAATTTCAACGCCGCTCTGCTCCAGGTTGGCTCAGCTCGTACCGATAAAACATTTACTACCATCTTTTACAACCTCAGGTCAAGCTATAGAGAAGTACTGAGGATAAATTGCTAGATAGGATTGGCAGGGTTCTGCATTAGCGGACATGTCGACTGTTTGAGGGTCTGTTTTCCTCACCTCTCCTGTGTTTCACACGGAGCACGCGGAACTGCAAGGTGTAAAACTTGTGCTGCTGCTGATCAGAGTGGGTCTTCCAAAGTAAAACGCTAAATGAAACAATGAAAGTAATTTGTTAAAAAGGGATCAAAATGTTGCTTTTACAACTATGAATTGTACTCGACCACAGATGTTGAACATAAGCTTTGTGATAGAAATATTGTGCCTGTTAATATTCTGTTAATTACATTTCAACAAGGAGCTTTGATACGGTTTATTAGAACATCTGTTAGATATACTCTGCTATTTATGCAGTTATACAAAACTTGCCGGCCATGTGAGCTTACCTCATTAAACAAAAATACGCACTAAGCCTCGGTCGGCAGAAAGTGTTTCCGGCATGAGGCCCCGACAAAGGAACTGCAGACATGGTTTAGTGTGGCGTTGTGTCTGTGAAGCCAAAATAATCCTCCCTGTCAGGGCCAGAGATCAGGCCATGTGGTGGCAGTGTGTTTGTGAGGGCGTCTGACTCTTCAACATCTATCTAGCTTCCCGCACAACACACCACAGTACGAACACAGTGTGAGTGGACATGCCGTACTTCAATATGCTAAGCCTTTGACAGGTGCTTATGTGCCTTGGTGAGTGATAATGACTGCGTAATGACAAATGACGCTCCGTCAAATGGAAATTACATTTTCATTTTTGTATCTTGCAATTTTATTGAATGTTCACTAGATGGTGGTGTTTCAACAAACATACAAACCGCTGTTATTAAACATTCACATGTGAATCGAATTGAAATAACACTGGTTGCCTTTTTTCCTTCAGGAGTTGCCTGATTGATTAAGGGAGAGACACACCGGCTATATTTCCGCATAAATATTACCCAACTTGTGCAAACACGGAGACATATGGCCGACTCTTTTGTGTGTGATTAAATTCTCCATGGGATGCGGAGTTGGGAACAGGATAATTAAGAATCATCTGTAAGAAACAGACGCCTGATAACATGCTCCCACTGAGCAATTAAATAAACGCAGGATAACACACACCGCAAGATTCCTAAATAGTCTGCATTTTTAATTTTGATTTACACAGCTTACCAAAGTAGCTGCCAGTACCGCTTTGCATGTTTGTTTTTTTTCCATTCCTTTTTAGGTTACCTGCATGACATATCTTGACATCAGTTTGATGAGTTATCATTAATTAATGGGTTTAGTAATGCGTAATACATAAATTACAACTGTTTTAGAGAGCCTTTATGAGCAAATGATAGGTTTTGGGTTGCCAGATAGTGCAAAATCCTTCATCAAATTTGCTTTAATTCATTAGTGGTCACTTAATGTTCTAGAGAGAGACTGGAGGAAACACATTTATAAACACTTTATTAACACTTACAACTGCAGAGTTGATAAATTACAATAAACATTTTGTCACTGGTTTGACATTTATGGTTGCAAGTTCAATTCTTCTGGTAGCTTAGGAGATTAAAAACTACGAAACCCTCTATTATTGACTGTACAAACTGCTGATCCATGTGTAAATGTGTGCTGTGATGGTAAGTTACCCAAAACCATGCCAAGAATCATGTTTAAAACTGTAATTGATACTGCTATGTTTTAGTGCAAACAAGTGCAAAGGATTTATGGCTGAATAACTTTGAAAATTAAAAAAAAAAAACTCTTTGATCACAGGTGCAATTTTCATGCAGTGTGTGCCACTTTCTGGAGAAGGGACCCGAGCAAAGTGAATACATTCTAGGTAGGAGGAATACATCAAACAGTTTAATAATGGGCTGGGAGGGAACTGCTCTTTCCCGGGGAGGTGTGACATGATTATGCAGCACCCCGGATCTGCTTCCAAGGGCAGATGGTCTACTTTTATTTTATAATTATGCATTCACATTTAAATTTTTTCTGCTTTCTACAAAGTTTTTGCTATAAGAAAGAATGTATTAAATTATATCCCATCACAGAAAATGGAAGTTTTAAAAAGGGCGGAGAATGGGCTTTTATATTTAACAAACGTAGCACATAAGATGGACCCACTTGTCAATGGCAGCCATATTTACTGCAAACTTTAGACCCTTTTACTTGCAATGGGGGATGAGAAACTTTACACTCATTGTCCAAAGCTACGGTTGTGTACAAAAGTCCCAATTTTGCCCAAGATGCTCATGTTTTCTCCACCACGGTGTATGGTGAGCTAACAAATAAAAACAGACGGAGGAGGACAAAGGTGACCATTGGTGTGACCTTTGCAACCAATTAAATCAATTACCCAATACAACATCTAATAGAGGAGTTATTGTCAGTTTTTCGCCCTCCTATCCCTTCTCGGGTCACCAGGAATGCTCTGCAATTCATGGAAAAAGTTGGTGCTCGAGTACCCAAGCATGCCTAATGACATGCATGCGCACATATTACCCACAGTGTTTTGGAAACATGGCGCATATCTTGATTGAATGCACATACCAAACCTGGTGTCATCTAAAGGTTATGGGGTTTTAATCAAGTGAAGGAGAAGACTGTCATTCATCTTACAAGCAGTCAGCGACAACTTTATTAAGAATCTGTGATTAATCTCAACAAGTACAGACTCTTCATTGGAAAGTGGAATGTTGATGAACACAGAGAGGAGCAGGGGAAACTTAAAGTCCCTCTGTGGTCAATGATTCAACCTTGAGAAGCTCATCTCTGTGTATTAAAGGTACAAATTTAGAATCAGAATCATTTTTATTGTCATTATGCATACGCTTCCATACACAAAACGAAATTGAGTTACAAAGTCTAGACTTTGAAACATAATAAGAAAGCAATAAACACAAATAAGAAAGTATAAAAATATATATAAATATAAACATTGTAAACATTCTTTAAAAAAAAAAAAAGTTTTACTTCAATTAAAATAACTCCTTTGTGCTTTAAAATCACTAACCCTACATCTTTGCTTCCTCTAGAATGTCCAGAAGTCTCCACCTTTCTCAACACCTACCTCTGGCTGCAGCTCAGCACACC